GGGGGCTTCCCAGGGCGGGGCTGCTCCTCTAAGTATGTGAGAATCACTTTGTGAAGGGTGCCCTGTTTGGTTGCCTCTTGTCTGCTTTGACTGCAGTGTCCGGTGGTCTGGGCCTGATAGCCCAGTATGCAGTCCTCAGGGTCTAGAGTCAGATCTGCTGCTCCTATGTTGATGCTGGGAAGTGAGGAAGTATGATTTCTGAGGATATTATTACATTTCCTCTGTTCAGAGGAAAGGTAAATCTTTTCCGTTGAGGAAGGAATGGCTTCGGAAATATCATGTACTCTCTGGGGTGCCTGGGTGGCTTAGTCGGTTAAGCGTCTGACTTTCACTTAGGTCATGATCTCGCGGTTCGTGGGTTCGAGCCCCTCATCGGGCTCTGTGCTGACTGCCAGCTCGGAGCCTGGAGCCTGGAGGGAGTCTGTATCTCCCTCTCTCTCTGACCCTCCCCTGTTCACGCTCTCTCTCTCTCTCATAGAAATAAATAAAATTTTTTTAAAAAAAGAAACATCATGTACTCTGGTCCCACTCCAGTGAATAGAAGTCCAGTTAGCGTCCCATGGAATCACAGACACTTGCAGAATTAAATTTCCCCTGCCCGGGCCAGTCCCTCTTCCAACTGAGTGAGATGTCTGCAGCAGGTACACAAAAAGAGTCAGTTTCTCTTTTCTCTTTTTTCTTCCTCCCACTGTCCCCAGTGCAAGGAGGAGCATGGTGTAGGGGAGCTACAAGGATCAGGAAGGACTCATTCAGGTAGGACATTTGCACTGCAGCTGATGGCTTGGTGCAGTGACCATCCCACAGGTTGGAGGGGCTAGGGAAGACTTACACTGATGTCCCCATTGGCATGTCAGGGCAGGCATAGTCCAGACTTTCAGGCCTCCCACCTCCTTCATGCTGTCAGGCACAGGAGGGCAGCCCAATCTCTTTCTCCTCAGGTCATCCTATGCAGTAACCTCAGGTCCAGCCCATACTGTTGGCTATAACCTTTGCAACAGGTTCATTCAAATCATCTTTTCCTTCCCTCTCCTCAACCTGTTAGCTGTCTTCTTCTGCTTTGGGGAGGAATCAAGGACGACAATGACAAAATCACAATCTCTTAGTTACATAAAGATTTCATACTTTGTTATGGACATTGGCATCTTCACCAAAACCTTCTCCTATAGACTCTCGCCATCATCCTGTTGGAGTCACACAACAGGATGGGGCCTCTTCCTTGACTACAGACATCCTGGGGAGCTTTTCCTTCTGCTGCCACATGACAATGAGGACCTGCCAATCATCGAGAAGTAAAGCAGTTGCCTAGAATAACTGTAGGCAGTAGGGAGCAGTGCTGGGACCCTGGTGAGAGCATGTGCACTGATACCAGGTGACTTCACAGATGGTGACAGGAAGAGAACTGCATCATGGATATCACATCTGCATTCTGATCTCAGTGGGTGGAAATGAGGGAGCCGAGCTGGCCAGGTTGGGCAACCCCAGCTTGCAAATTTGCAGGCAGTATCTGCACCCATAAGAAGGGTCTACCTCACGAGGGCTGAATGTAGGCTTCTTGCTGGTATGAGTGTTGACACTGGAGAAAACATCTAGGGTTAAGAAGCAAGGCAAGTCTATGAACCCTGTCATCCTGCCCTGGGTCTCTATGCTACACATACTGAAAGAAACCTGCATTGGCCTCAAGGGGTGTTGCAGCACCCTCAGCCTCCAGAGAGAAGATGGATAAACTGGATTGCCTCCTTTAAGAAAACCCAAGTTATTTACAGGATTAGAAACTGACACTGGTCCTCAACCCCTTTCAGAAACAGGACACTTGAGTTCCCTCCTGAAGGGACTCGGGCCTTTCCAAACCTTTATCAGGAATCAGGCAAGACTGAGCAGGGGAGGCACGAGAGAAGAGAACCCTGCAAGATCACCTTTTCCTTCCCAATTCTGCTTTCTCCCTTCTCCCTTGCCTTTTCCTAGGACAACCTCAACCCCACGTAGCCCCATGCCTTCCTTCGAGAGCAACCAGGGCCTGGAGCCACTATGGGACTATCCCAGAGGGAGCTATCTCTGATTGGAGGTGGGACCCTTCTCCAGGGAGGTGTGCCTTGCCAGGAGGACCAATGATATATGCCTGGTCAGGGTCACCCTCTGCTTTCTGGAGCGGGGAACCCAACTTGGCTAATAACCCTACTGGTGTGTAATCATACAAGGGGGATCCTGACTCCAGGGCAGGACAGCTTGGGGACTGCCTTATCCACTGCCGTGAGCATTCCCAGCAGGGCCCCTCTCTGACATTCCTCTGGGACCCAAATCAGCACTCAAATCCTGTGGTGGCTCCAAACACACTCAGCCCTGCACTGTGGAGGAACATGGAGAACGTCCATGTTCTTGACATTGGTGTGGCCCATGTTTGGAGAAGGATGGAAGTTTTGCCATTCTCTTCTGTCAGAGTGTAAGCAGGATGTCAGACAATGGCAACCCCTTGGGTAGCCTGGAATTGGGAAAGTCCTTCAGGAACACTGGCTGAACCCTCTGGGGATTAGCGATTACACGTGGGGATTCAGGGAAAAGGGGTATAACTGAATTTAGTCCATGGAGATCAATGCAATTTGGCAGCTGTTTTCAGGAAACTCTCTCTATTGCTGGACACCACCTCCATATTCTAAAGATGATATTAGGGAGGTGGGATTTTCACATATTACCTTCCGAAAACATGTTCTTTGCAGCTTCAAGCTCAATGATGCTATGGAGGCTGATTATACATTGCTGGAATCATTCCAAATGTTGACTTTTCCTCACCCTTTCCCTAGGATGATAAAATGGAAGAAATTGTGGAAGTTGGTGCATATTGGGTTCCTAACTGCAAAATTCTCGATGCCTCAGATTCTGTCCTGCATGGCACAAGATCATTGGGTATGGCAGGAATTATCAAGGATCCTGCACGGGATTTCACAAATGACTGTTTCACTTTTCGGTGATGTAATCTATTTGGTGGATTATAATGAGAGTTCAAAACAAGTTATCCCCGGAAGAAAATTCCATATCACAATAGAGGTTAAGTATGTTTTTGTGAAACCTTCTTTTCCAGGTATGTGGATATGTGTGCATGCTGACGATGTACTTTCCAGGTGAAATGCATCCCTCACTGCTGGCCTCATTCAGAAGACTTTGAAAGATCTGCTCACAGGACTTGCTTTTCCTTCTAAGCATGACTACCCTCTCTGATTGAATCTGCTCTCTGGGCTCTCTGCATAACAGCCTATGTCCCTTTACTCAGGGGCTCTTAACCCCTGTTCAGAGAGTTGAGACCAGAAGTATTACATGAGCAAAATCTGCAAAGAAGGGAGAATGGAGGGTCACTTGTGTTCGAGGCACCTCTCCGTTCAACTTCTAGGTCATTGCTCTGAGCCTGTGTCCCGGAGGATCACACACACCAATCCTTGCACGCCGACCAACCCGGAAACACCCTGATCCCCTCATGGAGTTACACACATCCCACTCTTCCCTGGCACTGACACATGGGCACAGAAGTGGTCAAGGACCCTGAGGGGGTCCTTGTGTAGAGTTGTGTAGCCCCAGGTGCAGGGTAGGGACCAGATAAGCAGGTCACAGTGGACAGAGAGTTGTCTCTGCTGCAACAGGGCCTCAATTACATCCCCCAGTAAGGTTCAGTCTAGTTCCTATGGAGAGCATACATATTCAAAGTCCATGGTTGGGTCAACATGGTCACAAAAATGGTCTGGAAACATGCAGGTTTGTGCTCACCTTCCATACCCAGGCAGGGCGGGGTCATCCCTTACTTGGTTTGCAAAGGGGTGTGGACAGCCTGGCATCACCATTTCAGGTGTCAGATTTATGGCTGCAAGGTGTATCTAGCAACCAGTAAGTGAAGGATATGCAATGGTATCTTGTGCTTCATTCACCTACAGAAATGTGTCCCATACCTGGCAGACAAAAAGGGCCACGGGCAAAGAGTCTAAGGAATTATTTACTCTAAGTGTCAAGACCTGCATTATGATGCCAAGCATGTCACATGAGATGAAACAATGCACTCTACAACTTTAAGCTTTTGACGACTCAGGGCTTCACTGATCTAACAGAGGAGAAGTCAAGGTGAGATGGGTATACATGCAGGCTGTAATGGGATTTAGACACACCAGGAATAGAGATTCAAGGGCTCTAGCCCAGGTTCTGTTCTTCTGACAGGCCTGGTCCATGGAACCCCCGAGAAGTGCAATAAGATTTCCCATCCCACTCGAGGGCAAATTTAGAGGCAAGCATAACACAGGGCATGCTCACAACAAAGTCAGTGATCCTGGAATTCATCCAGGAGTTGATCCTCTGTGAGCCTCCACATCCAGCATCAATACAAACTCAGGTTTTTGTTGGAAGGGGACAAGAGAGTTCCTAAAAAGGCTCTGAGTACAAGGGCAACGATGGCCACTCATAGATATTCATATTCCAGAGTGTTTCCCCAGCCTGACCCAGAGCATGGCTCCATCTCTCTGGCTTGTATCCAGGCTTGCCCTTGAGTGCTCTGCACCACCATCACATCCTCCACCCCCTCACTGAGTTCAGGGGTACATCCAGGGAAGTGTCAATGGCAACTGAGAGCAGGAAGTGGACCCAGGTCAACAGGGGAAGGGTCTCCACATCCAACATCCCCTCGGTCCCTGGAGATGGAGCGGCAGCATAAAGTGGGATCATCCCCCCATCCTGTCCAGACACAAACAGGGAATCAGAGAATGATACTGTGGGTTTCAATCTGGGACTCTCCCATCAAAATAAAGAATTAACTCTTTTCTTTTTTTTTTTTTTTTTTAATTAAGCAAGGAAAGATTCCAAAGGATAAATCCTGTCACTAGCATATCCTTGCCGTGTGATCTTGGGCAAGTCAGCTCCCATTCCACTGTCTTTGCTTTCCTATCGTTCAAAAGGTGATAATGTTACATGCTCAGGTGTCCAACCAGATGTAGGTACTGTGAACATAGAATGAGTTAAAGCACATAAATCACTTAGGGTAGAGTCAGGCATGTAATTTTTGTCTTCCCAGCTAGGAATGGACAACATAAAGTCACATGGTAAGACATTTCTAGGAAAAGGGAGGTGTCCTGCTCAGATTGTCCATCCAATAAAATGACACAGGTTTGGGTCCAAGAGATCTTCATTCAAGTGGGGGCCTTCAAGACACAGTTGCATCTCCTTTTCCCTCCTAACTCAGCTTGTTACGTTTCCGCTTTGGAAAGTTCAGGAAGCAGAAGACCGTCCCATAGAGAGCTTTGTTCCTGCATCCCAAGATCCCCAGAAAATGAGGGAAGAGGGAGACGATTGAGGCTAGTGCTTAGAGAGGTTTTGAGCTCAGGATGGCCCTAGGTGCCAGTTCCTAAGTCCTCCCAGTGAACCAAAGCCTGCCCACCAACCCATCCTGGGTGCCCACAAGGAAGGCGGATAAAGAAAAGCCCACCCCACTGGAGCCTGACACAGCTCTGTCAAGAAGAAAAGCAGGTTGGACCGAGCACCAGGTAGCCTGAGCACTGGGGAGGTCCACCGGGAGGTACAAAACCACACAGCTTAGCACATATGAAGGCAACCTGGAAAAGGATCCCAAGACCAGAGGGATCATTAATGAGCAATCAGAACCTCTGATAGAGAGCCTCCTCCTCAGTGCAGGGGTGTGGCCCAAGACGAATGCAAACACAATGCTGACCTGCCCCAAGGTCAGTGGTGGGTACCTCCAAGATGACCTCCAACATGATCTCCTATCTTCATGGCCTTGTAGAATCCCATTCCCAGGAGTGACTAATGGACTACGGCAGCTATAATGAAATGTCCAAGAATTCCAAAATGTGGTGATGACAGGTCTGCAGCTTCTGTCTCATAAACACTTTGTGTTCACTGGCTCGCTGTCTCTTTAATCTCTCTCTCTGTCTCTGTTCCTCTCTCTGTAGTCACCATATAAAATTGAACCTGCTGGGGAGGCCCTCAGGTATCCTAGGCCACGCAGAGGAGAACCGAGGCAGTCTGCAATGTATATGCACCATCTTGGGAGGACGTCTTGCAGCCCCAGGCCAGGTTCCAGGAGATACATCACGGCTGACAGCTTGACGACCACCTCAGGAGAGGCCCTACCCAGGACCAGACACCTACCCCTGCTCCTGGATTTCTGACCTCAGCAACTGGAAGGTAAACGGCCTGGTTTGAGCCACTCAGAATCAGAGCACTTGGTTGAACAGTCATGGATTAGGGATGCTCCCTGGAGCCAAGGTCCAGGCTCTGGGTGGTGCTGGCAGGCCCCCTTGCTGGGGCTTTCAGTTGGTGGAGGCCGCTGCTGCCTGAGGCCCTGGGCACAGGGAGAAGCCTGGTGCTGGTGAAGTCCCTACGGAGGGACAGTGGGGCTGTGTGTTCCCTGGGGGACAGAAGCACCCTGCAGAAAGGTCAGGGTCCAGGAGGATTGTGGTGGTGAAGGAGCTCGCAGCACGGGTCAGAGGAGCGAGGTGCAGCAGCGATGGAGAGTCTGGGGATGCAAGGGACAGAGGGGGACTGAAGGGAACAGGGTGGAACCAGAGGAGGAGAAGGAGCTATGGAGGCCCTGGATATGCAGGGGGACTGAGGCAGACAGGGAGCAGCCAGAGGAGGAGGAGGAGGAGCCTAGAGTCTGGGGCCAAAACAGGATGGAGGGGAACAGAGGGGGACAGAAGGGGACAGTGTGGAACCAGGGGAGAAGCAGGAGCCACAGAGAGCCTAGGTACACAGGGGGATGCTAGGGGTCTGAGTGGGACTGAAGGGGACAGAGGTTAGCAGGGGCATGGGGAGGAGCCAGAGGAGGAGCAGGAGCTGCAGAGAGTCTGGGGAAGGTGGGGGAGTGGAGTACAAGGGGAAAGAGGAGGAATGAGAAGGAGGGAAGTGCACACAGCAGAGGGACGGAGGGAGATGGAGGGGGCCACAGAGGGAATGCGGGGGACAGAAGGAGACACAGAGGGACCGAAGAGGACACAGGGGGACGAATGAGAATGAGGGTGTAGGAGAAGAGCCAGAGTTGTAGCCTCAGAGTCTGCAGATGCACGGGGCTGCAGGGGGCCAGAGGCGGACTGAAGGGACCGCAGGGGGGCAGGGAGGAGACTCAGAAAGCCTGGGGGACGAAAGGAGATGGAGTGGGACTCAGAGGGATGAAGCGGGAAGGGGACAGAGAGTTGGACTCAGGGGGAGGATGGTGGGGGACATAAGGGGGTCGCACGGAGACGGGGAGGAACCGGAGGAGGAGGAGCCGCAAAGATTCTGGGGATGCAGGCGGACAGGGAGCCACGGAGCCAGGCGCGGGCACTCACCTTCCAGGAACTTGAGCGAGAGAAACCGCGCCTTCCCCCTAGCCCCCTCGCACGGTGTGGTGAGCAGGGTGGTGGGCAGCCACGGTAGGGGGCGGAATCATGAGAGACGGACTTGCGACGAATCACTGCCTGCTTTCTGGCCACCAGCCCTTCGGTACCCGGCCCCGCCCCCATTAACTCTTCTGGTCACCCTCAGACCACGTTTCGGCTCCGGTCCCGCCCTCCCTTCTGCCCGTTGGTCGGCTACCAGCTCCGCCCCGCCCCACCGTCCTTTGTGTCCCTCAGACTTTGGTTCTCCCCTAGCCACGCCCCATCCAGCTGGCCTTCTGTCCACTGGGCACCGCCCCACTCCAGTTCGCATTTGTGACCCCTTGCTGCAGCTCCCTTCCTTTCTTCCATCTTCAGTCCCCGCCCTCATCCCTCCGCACCTCTCCCCTTCCGACCCCGCCTCCAGTCCAGTCCAGTTCCGCTTGCCCATTCTGCACTCCCTGTCCCGCCCTTCTCGCCTCGCACTTCCGCCCCGCCCTCCCGCTCCCGCCCCGCCCCCGGCTCCCGCCCCGTTTGCCGGCCCCGCCCGCCCAGGCTGCTAGGGCGTGAGGTGAAGCGTTAGGAAGAGGGTGACTGTTGAGCTCAGGGTCTGTGATGGTGCCTGTTATTCCTCCAGCCCCGGGGGCACCCACGCCCGCTTCCCTGGGGATCATCGTGC